AAATGATTTCCCTCATGGTGTAATATCACCAAGTGTGACATCCAAGCAATTGGAAAAAACATAGTCAAACTATAAATACCTTGCAAATGATAGAACATATAACTGTAAAAAACTATTTGAGCTGGAGTTAATTTTCGCTGAAAGGATTTTTTGGTTGTTTTGTATGAAATTTATTTTTACTGATTTGATTAGTTTAATGCAAAATATAGAAAAAAAAGGTATAGTCGCTGGATTTTATTTTCACTGAAAATTAATTTCCATCAAAAATTTTGTATTTTATAGTACTAGAAGAGACTTACAAATAGTTTTTTACTCAACCTTGCCAGCTAAGATCTGTTTATTTGCCAATCACCTCAATACTATACCTTGTTTATTCTACTTTAGCAAGTGCACCTTCTTTGTCAAATTCACATTTCACTATTTCCATATGCTAGTGCATCTCTGATTTGGTGAATGTTTTAGGTGTATGTAATTTATGTGAGATCACCTTGGAATCTATGGAGACGTTATTTACATAGTTTGTGAGAAAGAATATTTACATAGTTTGTCTGTATTGCAGCAGTTCTGATTCGAAGAGTCAGTTAAAAAACGACTTGCAACTTTGCAATACACTTTGGTTTTTGTCCAATCTAGACTTGATGGCGCCATTCTATCAACACACGCATAGTTTAGATCATTCATACTAGACAAGGGTAAAGCACAATCTTCAAAATGATACGAGTTTGTTAAAAATACAGGAACAGTTATTTTGTTAATACTCAAAAATGAAGGATAGTTTTTGAACACCTAGACTAGATTAGCAAATTGTCATGTTGACGATCGCTATAAAATAATGAATCCCACACAGCATGCCATCAGTCAAACATGGCTGTCAAGTCTAGAACAAAGTTACAAGCCATCTTGTTAATTGACTGGCCCAATAATCCTCAGAATCACAGTAAGAGGCTGTGATAATGATAAATACATGCAACTTTCACTCTAAGCAAAGATATCGATAAACATTACAGTCTTGACAATTTTTTTATTATTTTCTGTTAAACTAAAAATACAAACCCTTTGAGAATGTTCAATAGAAATTCCTAACCCAAAGAATTCCAAAATTTCCCCAATCCCAACCCTCATCATTCTACAGTAACAAAATAACTAAGTTGTCATGACAACAAGAACACTGACATTAGTATTCACTGGGCACTTTTAGCAGTTCTTATCTTGAGCATGTCAGTACTGGATACAAGAAGTGAGATCAAGAGGATCCCATGAATTTGTTCATATATCTTACAAGTATGATAAATAAGGGAGTGTAACTTTAATAACCATGTACAGCAATATGCATTGAAGATCTAACAAGTGAATTCTTTGCTAGTGGCGGCCTCATTTCGTGCATGTCAATTGATTGTATTCCTAACCAATATCGTCAAAGAATGAAGTCAACGCTTGGAAAGGTTTGAATGCGTGAACAAAAATGAGCAAGATTTCTTGTTGCATTCACAAACGTGAAACGAACAAATTACACACTTTGCAATTAGGCAAGAACATTATTATCTGAGATGAACACTAATTAGTTTTTTCACAGATTCACTAATTTGCATTAGAATTTCTAGAAATGTAGTTTTGTTTTGAGATTATCTCGCAATTCAAGTGATCTTCATCATATATCATATCCTTGTATAGACTCATTTCATACATCCTTAACACCCAGTACAGATCAATGTGATGTAACACAAACATATCAACAAAACATAATTGTAATATTTTAACAAATATACGAGTGTACAAATTTCACAGAGCTGTTGATGTACTGGTCACCTAATCAATTCCAATGGGATCTTTAACTCCTGTGACATTTGATGATTGGAAGTTACAAGCCCTTATATTTCTACTCTGCTACTCCATAGCACCATAAAGTACTGGATATATACGTTAATAAATAAATACCACACCAGCCCTATAATTTCCCATGCACTGGAGATGGGAGGTAGATTCCTTATGTACACAGAGATTATATTTTCTTCAAAATGAGTTTTTAAATTTTTTTTTAAAAATTTTTTTTTAAATAATCTCCAAAGAGAAAATAATAGACGAGTCAGCATTGATATGAAGTTATTGTCATGCTCAGGACACCTTAAATAGACTTGCATTTACAGTAATTTGACAACAATCAAACAATATCTACAAATCAGTGTCGCACAGAAGTTCATGCAAGTCAATGTCCAGTAATAGCATCATATGAAACACACTATAAATAGTGGTGCAGAAGATAGGGTTTTAAGTACACCAAATATCCTATTTAGTCTATTAGAAGCGTATGCGCTAACATACATATCAGACGGTGACAAAAATAATTCATATTTTAACATTACAGTACACAATGAAAGCAATGATGGTTTAGGTACATTACAAGATGCGCTTCTAATAGAGGAAATACAGTACTGTGATTTGTTAGATTAAATATTTAACCAGAATTTTATGCAAGAATGCTTTCATTAGAGCAAATATTGCGCACACACCCTGATTTTCAGGAGTTGTGCGAGGAAAAAAAAAATGAATGCTTCCAATCATCGCCTGTGCCGTTTTAAAACATGCAGGTCACAGAAAAATTTTTTTTGTTCAGAGGGTAGAGAAAATGAAAGAAGTAATTCAGTTTTCATCAAAAATGAACAAATTTTATAATAATTAATAAGAAGCCACTATGCATGTATTTAGCACAACAAATTAGCCAGAAACTTTTTCGGGGGAGAGCTTTACAAGTACAAGCATAAGAACTTAGTTTCATAAAAACTTCAGAGCGAATATGATGTGTATATTCTATACCCTGTATTTTAAGACTGTACAGGGTATAACATCTACACTGTAAATAAAATTACAAAACTAAAAAATATAAAGCTGCCATACTCTTGGTGCTAAAAATGCCCAGTGCATAATAATTCTGAGTCTATAGATGTTGAATACTTGAAATACTACCATAGAAATCTACCAGACAAAAGAATATTTACACTTGTACATTACATCAACCTCTTTGCATTTAAAATTCTCCGGAAAATATGGTACTTGCATGTACATTTCATTATTTTGTATGTGTAAAATTTGCAAACATTTTGGCAAGCGGTGTCATATTTATTGAGCTAAATGTCGTGATCTTCACTGTCAGCTTGCCATAACAGTTACTAGGGATTATGAACCTGGTTGCTAAGAACCAGTATATTGGTTTCAATTCATAAATATATTTTTGTCGTCGAAAATTATCAGTTGGGCGAAAATGATAATAAAAATTCATAATTTCATGTAAAAAATCATTACCACCCATGTAATGAACAAACAAATGAATGAAAAAAAAACAGAACTTATTTCGTGAACACCATCTATTTCACCACTGGGCTGTACAGACTCTGATGTTGGAACCATCATCTTCACGCCCAAAAAGCTCTCTCAAATTATCTACAATCAAAGTACCTGAAAACATCCTGATCAGGACATGATTTCTGGCACATACCCAAATTCTGCTGTACTGCATTCTCATGTCCTTGTATGCTGCCCTCAACGAATGCAGGCTAAGGAATAGACACCCTGGCAAGCTGTGTGTGGGCTGGACCAGCACTTCTGGTAGTAATTACCAGTAATGTTATAACATCTACATAGCACACATTCATTCATCTATTGGTGAACATGTGAAAGAAAATCTCATATTGATAATTACTTCACAAGACTGCAAGTGTGCAGTCTCTTTGCCATGAATAGCTTGCTGGGGGAGTGGAATACACCGTACTCCCCCCCCCCCCCCCCGAGTATAAGCCCAGGGGCCTGAACATGTAAAATCAGGGAAATTAGGGGGTGAGCTTATACTCAAGGACCACCTCAGAAAAGATAATTTGCTGGTGGGTTGTAAATTGTAACAGGCTACTAGCCTGAAATCACAGAAATGCAGCAGACAATCACAAAACACTGTAAAACAGTAATTGCTTGCCTTTTTGTTTGAAAATACAATATTCTCTATAATAAATGTACCAGAATCAATTGGCATTTTAGCTATCATTTACATACAAATTTGAATATAAAGTTAAATTAAATAGTCCCCCCTCCCCCCCATTACTTGTTGACAGTCAATATGCCTTGTGTCAGTTCATGACTTATTTTTTCTGGTTTCATCCACAATAATATAAAAAGAGGACCAGAAACAAGTTTTTTTTTTTTTGGCTCAGAAAAACAATCATGCTGTTTTACAGTGTATTCCTGGTATACATACAATTGACTTAGATGGCCCAACATGTCTCTAAAGTTGCATAAAGCATATATATATATATTGCCTGCCAATGTTTTAACGTTGCATGCAAATATTACAACCTTCAATTACTATTCATTTAGCCAATCAGATAGCCTGACGGTGTTCTACTGAGCAGCATTTAGCCAATCACGGTGTTCTACTGAGCAGCATTTCACAAAAATTTATAATAATAATAAAAGTGATGCATAATGCATTCATTTTTGTCTTCTGGAAATAACGTAATCTTTTCAGCAGTTAACTGACATGGAACCAAAAGCAGGCTGTCTAAAAAAAAAACTAGCAAACGCTTGTAATGGTGGGATGGAAAGCCCACCATTAAATTCTCCAACACAAGCTTCCTGATGTAGATGTTGCATACCAATAAGACGCTGTGGAAAATACAAAATCTCTCTTAACAGCTCCACATATTGGCTTGTTTTTCAAAAGTTGCTGAATCCATCCATAAAAAGGAAGTCTTTCTTTCTTTAGAAGTTCGTTGCACATTCCATATACGAGTTGTTATCTTCAACTTGACGACACTTGTACATGTCAAATCCCATTAGAACATTCGGTAACATCAGTGAGCACCAAATTACTGATGTTACTTACAGAGAACGTGACATCATAGAATATACAGATTTTCAGATTCTTTCAATATATTATCCATCTTCTTCATCATCATTTTTTGTTTTTTTGAAAAAAAAATTAAAATTTGTTTTTATTTTTAGTTTTGCACGAAGTCTCAAAAACCGTTTATGTTTTCATTTGTTTGGTCAGCAAAACTGAATTTGTTATGACTGGAATTGTTGTTGTCACCATGGTTACTCTCCTGTGAGGAAGATGATGACGGGGATGCAACCATCGATGAGGAGATTGAAGATCGGTGTGATGGTTTGTAATCGGTGATGATAACAGTAACGTCATTTACAGTAACAGCCATCGGTGTTCCACTGTTTCTGTCAATGTTCTTTAATCTCGGTCTGCAAAAAAAAACAAAATAGAAGATCTTAAGTAATGACAATGATCTACAACATAAAGTTTTTCTGACTGCATAGATTTGTAGAAAAAAATAACATAGTAGCCATACATCATCATCTATACACATAATCACAGTAGCCAGACATCGCCATCTATACACATAATCACAGTAGCCAGACATCGCCATATATACACATAATCACAGTAGCCAGACATCGCCATATACACATAATCACAGTAGCCAGACATCACCATATATACACATAATCACAGTAGCCAGACATCACCATATATACACATAATCATAGTAGCCAGACATCACCAACTATACACATAATCACAAGCCAGACATCACCATCTATACACATAATAACCATACATCTGCCGGCCATGAAAGCAGTGAAGGGAATAACATCAACAGCAATCTAGCACTGAATACAGGCATGAAAGTATTCTCTGCAGGGTCATCTATCAAAAGGATCATTGCAATTTTGATACAGTAGTTAAAAACAGCTGATTGATACAGAACACACAAATGGATAAATTTATCAGTTCACATTGAGCAGTGCAGCAATACACATCAATCATTTGCTAATATCATTCTTTTATTGCAGTTCATTTCCACCTACATTGGAGACTTTTCCATTCTTGATACAAACACAGAGTGTTATCACAAATTACTCCAACTGTCATGACACTTAATGAGGCATGGGATACAGCCATGTGATTACACTGTTGATGTCTCAACTGACATTTCACTCGCATAATTGCTTCATCTGCCCTTTGGCTACAATAATTGATTATCACCACACACACACACACACAAAAAAACGATGAAAAAAAAAACAGGCTATAGTTATGAATACATGTTTGGGGTTCATGTTCAGCCAGAGTTAATAAAATGTACACTCAGTGGACTGTTTATATAATTTACGGTACTTCAATTATGTGGAAAACATTTAATGATTTCCCTAAAAAATAATTTCTAATCCACCCAACATACATAGAAATTAGACAAATTTAGCAGGTGACCGAGAAAAACCATTATTTGAAGCCAAAATTTACTATTCCCTTCTCAATGCATTTATGTATAACCATGTTAATACCTCCATGGTATAACATATCTCAAAAAGAGATGCAAATCAAGTTTTTTGTGTATTTTATTTACTCAAGCACTGTGAACACTAAGCCCTATTGAACAGGAGATTTACCATGAATGTACTGATACATCTACATGTACTGTGGAATACTTTATTTTCGCTGGAATTAATTTTCACTGAAAAGGTTTTTTGGGCGTTTTGCTTGGAATTTATTTTCACTGATTTTTGATGAGTTTAATGTGAATCATAGGAAAAAAAGTATATTCGCTGGATTTTATTTTCACGGAATCATCCCTTCAGCGAAAATAGCGAAAATAAATTCCAAGCGAAAATAAAGTATTCTACAGTACTAGAGAAAATAGACTTCCCAGATACTGGTAATGTTTATTGTTCGTAGCAAAACCATACAATTTGTCGTGGTTTGGTGATGGAGTCAACATGAATCGACAGCCTTACATGTCTTATTTATTTCAACACTACAGGTAAGTTGAAAACTCAGATAAACAAACACAAAACCTTTAATTAGGCATATTTTTTATTAGTTTTAGGGACTGGCCATTAGAAATTTTAAGAGGCAGATTTCTGGAGGTGGACCCTGATTTGATAAAATATTTATAAACCCTTAGAACTTTTGACAAATTAAGCATTTTTTTAAAAGCATTTTGATCAAGACCTACATTAGAAAAACTATTTGATTTAAAATTTATAAATAAACTATAGAAAAATTGATAAAAAGTATTGAACGTATTGAAAAAGTATTCAGCGGGAAAAAAATCAAATATTTCAATGTCTTTCATTCCCTTATGCCCCATTTTTGCTCTTAGTACAAACAGGCTTTGCGAATAAATCATCTTTCTATGATAGACAACAAGTAATTCTACTTTAACCTTTTCACCACCAGTTCCCGCTTTTCATCACAAATTCACAAAATAGTCCCGTTTATAGTCTTCCACTTTCCTTCAGAAGATTGGGACAAAAATAGTCAGAATTTTTTAGCAAAAACTGAAAATTTACCCAAACTTTGTCAGTTAGCTCCAAAATTTGGGTTCATTTTCAGAAATATTGAAGAATTTAAGAAAAAAGTACTGAAAATTTGGGCGAGAAAGTCTGGTGGTGAAAAGGTTAATAATAGATGCACAAATCATTGTTAGTTACAGTTAGCAAAGCCACTGGATTGGGAGATTAAACTGTTATCCCTACTAGAGCGTTAGACATGTTGAGGCGTGAATTCATAAAAGAATTTCATATGGTGCATGTACTTTCAATATCACTATGTGCAAACAGACATGGTGCTATGAGAGGTCACAAGATTAATTTATATCTACTTCAACAGACATTACCAATCACAGCAAATACATGCTAACACGCTTTCCACAGTTATCCTAGCATGCCATGACCACACACTATTCGTCACACTTTCACACTAAAGCAGCCTTTCAGTTCAACTGAAACAAATTGCGTTATCTGATACCCCAAAACAAACACAGTAAACCTCTTTAATTTTGGTGATAGACCAATTTTCACTAATTTCACAAGTCAGAAATCTCATAGCGAAGAAAAATCTCACTGGGCTCTAATCTTGCATACAATCTCTTGTTTATTTTTTTTTTTCAATAATAAAGGAACATGGGAGTGTATAAATGGCAAAAGCTGAGTTACCATAAAATAAACAAGAGACTTGTGACCCTTATAGATGCCCTTTTGTGGTGATGATAGTCACAGGTTTTGGTTCAGTAACCTAAACAAGAGACTGCATGCAAGTCTTACTGGGGTCGTAAACACGCGTCACAGCAACTTTTGCCAAGTTTCGTCTTCACAAATGCCATTAATTCATCTAATCGTAGCAATTTTGAGTACCGTAAAATCTGTATTAGAAGCCGCAACTCTAATAGAAGTCGCACCCATTCTTTTTGAACAAATGTTAAGCAAACATTCACCATTTCTCCTATGTGTACATATGCTCTAATAGAAGCTGCATCCCCTCTGTTGCATTGTACCATTTTAATAGAAGCCGCAGCTTCTAATCCGAATTTTACAGTAGTGAAAATTAAATGAATTACATACTATTGCAGCCACAAACCTTGTACTCATTAATATTCATAAATAATCATTCAATCTAAAACGTGAGGTTTCTATTGGCTGATGGAATACATTGAAATATTTTCATATGACAACTCATTGATTAACTGGTTGGAATCAACTGCTATTGTAATTGATAAATATTTATAAGAATCAGCGGAATGGGTTTGTGGTCACGACAGTTTCACTTGATAGGGGTTAACATCTCAATAGTCTAAGTTAGTCACTGTACTGAAAATAAAATCATTATTTCAAGGGATTGTCCCTGGTCCCTGGGATCACATTTAACTGCCAACTGTTAATACACTTGTTAGATATTTATGTTTATCATTAATTATGTGAACTTTCCTGATAAAATAAATCTGCATATATTTTAAAAATTTACATGCAATGGGAAATTATATTTATTTTGTCTAAAATTGACAAAGAAATTATAGAAAAATACACAAAAATGTAGCATCAAAAAATTGTCAGAAAAAAACAGTACATCATGTCAAGTAAAAATCTTTGATAACAGATCTTATACTAACATACTTCAAAGTATCAATGTTATCACATCTTGTCATTTTTAATTTGTATATGAAACATTTAATTTTTTGTTGTTGTGCCAGGCGACAGTTTTGGACATTGAATGTCACTGTTGTCTCTCCTGACTTATTTTTTTTGTATGTGCAAATTACAAGTGTTAATGTTGATACGCAGTGCATTTTTGCCACAGAAGTTATATTTATATTTGGGACTACACACATGACAAGACTGTGCGGCCATCTCTCTATCAAAAAGCAATTTAATGCACTATCCTGGCGTCAACCAGGCTCAATCAAACACAAGTACCTGCGGACAAAGGTTTCCCCAAAGTTGCATTCGTTAGTGAGTGAATCTCGGCCAGTGGAATTGGCCTTCCCATTGAGTCTGTGACACACTCACCCAGGGGTCAACCCTTTTTGGTGTTCAGCTTAAGAGAGGATTTGAACTTGGGTCTACCGATCACGAGTCACTATGTTACCGGTTCTGTAGAAAAAGAACTTGAAAATATGCTCACCTAATTCTCTTTGATGTACTTGACGATGCCAATAAAGGGGATTTCTTTGTGGAGTGATTTCGAATTTGCTTGGGAGGTGGAGGCGGGATTACTGCAACCTGCTGTGATACAATTTGTGAATTAAGTCTGGGTTTCCTGAAATTTGAAAAAACAAACAAAAAAAAACATTAACACAGAAACAATTCATGTGTTGTTATTGGTGTAGATTTACATGTACCCCGGCAGTTTACAATTTTTTTTAAAAAAATGTTTCTGTGCCAGACGACAGTTTCAGACATTGAATACACTGTTGCCTCTTCTGACTTTTTTTTTTTGTATGTGTAAATTGCAAGTGCTAGTGCTATTTGCTTATATACATCCATTTGTACTGTCAATATATGCCACTAAACACTGATATACGTTATAATGTGCGATCATTGCATGTTTATTTATACCGCGCTCATTTCAACCGCTCCAGGGCAAGTCAGGGAATGAAATATGGTGCAAATTACTAGCCTTGCATTGTCACGTTTCCACTGTATTTATGACATGCATGGACAGATTCCACAAAATAAGCCATTAACAGTTACTGGGATTTTATGGGTGTTTAAGTGATTTGTCTCTCAGCACAACCTAGATTAACACAAGACTACAACCATTAAAGTTAATGGTGTTGCTGGATTGGGGGGAGGGGTGGAGGTGTAAAGTTTGGCACAAAATGCATTTCTGAGGATATTTGAGGTTGGTTTGAGATATCGTTGTGACAGTTTCACACTGCATTACTAGCACAGCTATCAACATTCATACTTAAGTAGTGCTGACATTACAACATTTAGCAATAGTGTTAAGAACAGTGTACATGTCTCACATTGACAGCCATAAAAAGCAGAACTCTTGTGTGGGTGAGTGTCTGTGTGTATGTACAACTTAGAAAACATTACTCCAGTAATTATTATGATGAAGTATCCAATTTGGTCAGAGGTATTATTAGCATGACCTATGAATTATGTTGTTTAAAAAGCAATAAGAAGATTAGATGCATGTATTCATGAAATGTACATGTATGCACAGACTGTCCTTAAGTATTCTCTGATTAGATGGCTATATTTAGTAGACCTACTTGAATGCACAGACTGTCAAACAACTGCAGCATCTCAGTTTGATAGTTAAAAACTGACAATTAACAGACATATGCAATATAACTTTCTACAAAACAAAAATGACATTCACACACCAAATACTCAAGTACCCATTTCTCCATAAAACTCAATAGATCACCATTCTGTATTATTTAATGTATGGTAACTATGACAACAATTTCTAGAGATTGGTATTTGGGGTTTGTGTATCACCGTCAACCCCACATATTTTACAATATTCTGCCGTAATTTAAATACTTTATTGTTTCTTTAGAGATTGCATTATTAATTCTTTCAACTCCAAAGTGGAATTTTGTCACCACTCACAAAATAAATGTTCATAACTTTTTCAATATTTTGTCAACAATTTTCATCATGATCTGTTACCAGTGGAAAATTATGTCTTTCTGAAACAATATTAATGACAAATTTATAAACAAAATACCTAAAAATGTGCAAAAGTTTGGTGGAAACTATTCTGGCATTCAATGGTTTGCGGCTGAACAATGACTTTTCTGTTGACATTTACCCGGTAGTATCCATTTATCAAGATTTGATCTTAATGAGAATATGGTAGGTTTGTGAGTGATTTCACACCAATAATGGTATGCATATCCAGTAATTATTAACTAGCATTCAAACATAATCAGCATTGTGACAATAATCACAAATTTTCAAGTAAGGAAAGTAACATCATTTGCAATTCACATAATTACAGAGAAAACATTTAAATTTCACATCATTTATCAATGGAACAAGTAGCCATTTACACAGATCATCTGTGACACTCCCAGGCACATGTACAAATTAAAATTTCCACTGACCACCCAAAATTATACAACTCAACCTTCCTGTGGACAAGTATACACAGATAATGAGAAAAATAACGTTATCTATTTAGTTGCACAATTGTTTTTATTACAAATTAATGAAGCCAGATGAAGAAAAGATTGCCATAGAGACCATTCAATTGGCTACTGAAAATGTTATAAATTAAAATTATATGATTTCACAAGGTAATAAAAATCATAAAATTTTGCAGCTCTGAAAATTTCTTTGGAGTTGTATGGCAGGGAAATTTGTCTCTTCATTAAGCCCATAAAATCATAAAATTGCAAGAATTCCTAGCAAGGAAAATCCAGCAGTTCACACACGTACTGTTACGTGAATGTGCTTCGATAATAGTGTAATACTGTTTGTCTGAAGCGTAATGGCTACGTATACAGACTGAACCAACCACATACATGTACTGCGACTCATTTCCACGAACAATTATGGTAAACACTTTAACCTCTACAGTTTAGGTATCAAGAGAATTGACTGGTTCAGTTTCATGAAATATACAGATCAAATCATCTGGGACGGAAACAGCCTCCCGGACTCATTAATGTTCACTCACTGTTAAAGTAACTTTCATTCATTGTAAATGCACGCTGGATCCAGTTGACAAGAGTGGAGTTGATGCCACATAAGGCACTCACACTATATACCTACATACAGAGTTTTCTTGCGTGTAGATGAGTAGCTACAGTACTACCCTGTAGGATTGGCATAAAAACAAGCCAGCATGATAGTCTTGACTGTATGAGGGAATAAAGGCCAGGACTCAGGAGATGAGCATAAAAGCATTTGCTTCAATTTCAATTCATTCTATTCCGTCTATGTTATCGGATGTAACCTTATCCTGTCCACAAAAGAATGATACCAATTGACGAGTAGAATACATTCACCGAGTCACTGTACGATTATTATCGTTTATTCTACACAGATCAAGAATATATCCTATATTTTTCACACGTGTACACATAGCGACACGGTATGACCACTGAAAAGCGAAATACTAGCGTGTACAAGCATGCAATTTTTAGAATCATCTTGAAGGGTCTCGTTAATTGTTAAATATCTTTGCCATGGATGATCACATACTAGGTCGCACAATGACAGCCACGCTAATCAATTGTGCAATGCACACAAAATCAATTTTTCAAGAAATAAATTTTTGCCAAGCACACATGATGGATTAAACCACAGTGGATATTTCACCTGGGCTCTTCACAAATGGTGATATTTCTTGACACAATACACTGATATTAGAATACAAGTACAGAGTTCTCATCGAAAATAATCAATGAATTTCAGCTGACTATTCATACTGGGGCATACACACTCAGAAATTTTTTTCAAATGTCTGTCAAATTTAATATAATATTTATTCACTTGTTTCATAACAAATTATGCTATACAAATGATTTTGTAAAAATAAATAAAATTTGTAAAAACTTCTGGGAAGTAAACCTTATCAAATTTAAGTAATCTTCCTACAAAATCTGATACATGTAGACAGAAAATATACACAATAAATATAATTAATTATAGTTTATTTCTTAAAGTGAGCTCGATGACCTTAATACATGAATATGACTTTATGAAGTTTAAATTTTTATTTCATCGCTCAATGTCAAAATACTGATCTTGCAAGGGGCAATGTGACATTGATACATGTACACTTAATTCATCAAAATTGACCATCATTAAATCTATAGCATATTATGAGATGTGGTAATATCCAATAAAATCTTACATTTTCTTGAATCCCACGCAATGTTTTGACGCAACTAAGATGCTGTGACCTTTGTTTGTCCTGCTTTTATATTTGATTTCTTGTGGGATCTCCACAGGATGATACATCTTGAATTAGCAAATGTTTTATATAAAAATTACATACACAGTTTATTATTGTACAACAGTTATATGATATGTTAGACTCATGACGTAACTGTGTAACGTTTTAAAAGCCACTGGGCAATACAAATTTGGTAATCACGCTGAGGAATGTACAAGATGAAAAGTTTTTATTTAATATACACAGTATGTACCAGTGGAAGTATACCTAGAACTAACATGTATGTGCACTGCGGCCATAGCTTGTAAATGTCATTTGTACACCCACTCTCTTACATAGCCACAGAGAAAAACAACAGATACATCATTAGAAGAGATAAACTGTGTTGAATCCACCTCAAGAGCAGAATGAGATGAACGATTCCCTGCAGATACAAAAATGTATGTCTACGTATACAAGTAGTGCATGACAAGACTGGTTTCAAACTCTACTACTGAAGCATGGCATTACACATAAGCACTGCAAATCATCTATGCAGAGAAATCCAGCCCTAGGCCAAAATGCTCAGATGATCATCAGATTTGTGGATTTCAAACAGATTTGATATATGTGAATAACAAACAGCCAGTTGACATACAAGTAAAAATACACCTAATATCCATAATTCAAGAGAGACTACCCCGGTATCTTAGATTCGTGCTGAACATAAAAAAAACACACTACCGATAATCATTTCTACAGTTTTAACCAAATCCCAAACTTCCCCAGCTAGAAGATCCATGGGGGTAGCGCTTTAAACATCAACCAACCAAATTCAACATTCATGTCTGAAAACCTCCTGTGCATATGGATGCCTCAGTATTCAAAGCACCTAGAACATTTTCACAGTGTATTTGAAATTGAAAACGTCTTCAAGTTCAAGACCCAGAAATCAATGAACGACCTTGGAATTGGGTGATGTTCCTTAAAATGTATTTTTTGACGAATAACTTAGAAATGTGACTATAGAAGATGGGCTGGATGATAATCAAGAAGCAGATTAAAGTTCACAAAAAACACATTGTGGAATTTTCATGTTGTGCATTCCATATGCACTTTTGATTTATAATGAATTTTCAAAATTGTATTATTTTCACCTAAAAACAAACATGACATTCCATATCATTCCAGGGTGAAGAAAATATCAAGAAGCCTGGGGTTAAATGTTGAATGTCAGACAATAAATTATTTAAAGTAAAACCACATGGAAAGCTGATAACACTCTGTATACTGCACACATGAAAGTTTTATCTCATGTTATTGTACAAGTTATATTCTGTACTTTATAGCGAAAAAAACAGTAGTGAAACAGGGTGTTTACATGTGAAACAATGAGTTCTACAGCG